CCAAAGCTCCCTTTGGCATCATGTCTTTTTGACTTTTGTGCTCTCCAATGAGCCGGCACGGAGCTGCGTTTCGAGGGCAGCCATCGATTTGAAGTCATTCAAGTTTTAGGGCATCATCAGGTATGAGCGGAGTTCATTTGCATAGCGCAGGGAGAATGAAAGCGCGAGCGCGTGCGCGAGATGTGCGAGGCGTGAAGAAAACCTTCACCGCAGCTGTCGAGCAGTCTCATGTGAAAATGGCTTTGCATCCCCCCCCCCTCCAAACCCCTTCCGAAAGACTGGATGATTGATAATAGAACCCAGGCAATCTACCTTGTTTGGGAAATGATCTTGGGAGTGCTTCCAATGTCCTCGAGCAATTGTTTCAAGAGCAGAGCACACCTTGCATGGAAATATGATTCTCCCAACAATAACTCCAAAGGCATTAAAATATTGCCAAAAATTGAGGAGGCGGGTCAAAAGAAGCATTTGAATGAATCTGGGCCAGATTTTACTGACCAACGTGCTAAACGGTCAGACGAGAGGCATAATCGACAGTTTTGAACTTTTGAGGTGTTTGGCAAGTGCCCACTGTGAAATGAACGCACTCGCACCAGCTCATTTCCGGACACGCGTCGATGTTTTCGACGACAACCGGAGCTGGGAGGATTGTCAATGACCACGTCGGTAAGGAAAGATTTGATTTGGGAAATATCTCTTGTCATCTGGGCATCCCACTTTTAGAGAAAAAACAATGAGGGACGGGGGGGGGGGGGCAGTTTGTTTTATTGACCGTTGCTTCCTTGTTATCAATCAGGGCGCTTCTTTAAATAGCTACATTCAGTGAATGGAGTCAAGATGTCGACTTTCTCAACACAGATGAAGATTTTTTTGGGGGGGTGGAGTTATAGTTATTGAACACATTTCAGACGGTCGGATTGGACCCTATTAATGGGACAAATACACACCTACCGTAAAACGCCTCAGACAGACAAATAATCTTCCAGGACAATCTTATCAGACGCAAGCTTGCAGTTGAAACTACTTTTTGACAGAAATCTTTCCAGTTTTATGAATTCCTTGTGACCGTTTTTTTTAAGCCACGGTCTGAGCTTGGCGGCCCAAAAATTAACACTGAGGCACTTAACCCTTTCATGCACCCTGTAACCTGCTAACATGATAAAGATGTCCACTGTCGTAACACCGCTGTCCCTGAAAGGGTGAATTTGTTTTTTTTGTCAACTCCATGTGTGAAGCGTGACTTATAAATGTTTTTCCTGTGACTCCAACAATATGACTTCAAGGCAGGACGCATGATGAATGATCCAGGTGCAACGGTAGGGCGCGACTGGCCATTTCCTGCGGTCTCCCGTAGTGGTCAGGCTTATTCGGGTTATTTATCACATCCTGCTTCATGGTTGTGAACCGTCTGAACTCTCTGGGCTGCTGCTCGCGTCTTCATTGAAATGCATGGTGGCTCGCAGTTACTCCTGCGGGAATTTCCTCTCCAAACGAGATAGGCGGACCTATCTTGGGTGATGATTTTAAGGCAGTGGTCCGCAACCTTTTTTTGTGTGTGTGTGTCACGGACCAGTTGAGACAAGTAGCTGCTGTTCGTGGACCGGCAACTATTTTTTTTTTCATTGCTTTTAAATAAAAATGTTAATTAATTCTGATTCATTTCAAACACTGTTATTCTCTTGCACAACAAATGGAGACTAAAATAAAAATAAGACAGAGAACTACGAAGAAATGGACCAATCGGGATGAATAAATACGCCTTATAATGAAAAAAAAAATCTTCATTTTGAAGTTATGATCCGACATACGGCGTTAGCATCATTGCTACTTGCTAAAGGGACTGATCCAAAGATGACGCGATTGATTGTTGCTCTCATCCGGTGGCTGCTGGCTAGTTATTTGCGACTCAACTGCTAATGTTTACGTGGGCAGGCTGTGCAAACGTGCTTTCAACTTGGGTGCTACTTCTTCAAATGATTCAAGAGGTTTCTTGTATAGAGGGCTCCGTCCTTTTATCAATTACCCACAATGCACTACCGGCGGCCATATTGGAGGGCTGTTATGAACAGGCTATACACGAAGTCTATTCGTGTATGGCTTGTTTATAACAGCTCTCAAAATAAAAAAAATAAAAAAACAGCTCTCCAATATGGCCGCCGGTAGTGCATTGTGGGTAATTGCTAAAAGGACGCAGCCCTCTACAGCCTTGTTTTTGATGACATACGTCGCTCTGGAGATACAGTACCGCGAGGGGAGGAACTTCTCTTGTCGAAATAGCTTCGTCTTCAGAAGTCACGGCTACCCATCAGCTACGCGTTTGGCTCTATGTTTTTGAACTATTAATTTCGGTTTACTGCTTCTTCTTATTGGCAGGTTCTGTTTATTTCAACTAGCAAACCAATGTGAGAAGGGGGGCTCCGATTGGCTCGAGTCGCCCACATTCCCTCCACGTTGAGAGACATAACACACACTAGAGGAGGAACTTTCTTGTCAAAATAGCTTCGTCTTCGGAAGTCACGGTTGTCCTTCAGCTGCACGTTTCGACGTGCGTTTGGTCAAATTGTTGCTATTACTTTGTGTTTAGCGCTTCTTCTTTCATTCATTGGCGGATTCTGTTTGTTTAAACTTGCAAACGAATGTTAGAAGGAGGACTCCGATTGGCTACAGTCACGCACTTTGCTTCCACGCCTGACGGAGTTCGGCCCGGTACCAGTGCGCGGACCGGCGGTTGGGGACCACTGTTTTAAGGCAACGGCGGTACCGTTGGTTAATCAGGAAAGCGAGCCTGTCATCGGTCATCGAATTATTTTTCTTTTGACCTTTTCTGACGTCGACCGTATGAGAGAAGTCGAGCAGTGATGCACGCTGTCAAGATTTGGGCCCCATAAACCAAGCGTGTAAGGTCTTGCTTGTTTGTTCCCCGCAGGGCTCTCGGTCAGCATTTCCACCTTCAGTCTGGTGGCTATCGCCATCGAGCGATACAGTGCCATCTGCAACCCGCTGAAGTCCAGAGCGTGGCAGACGCGATCCCACGCATACCGCGTCATCGCCGCCACCTGGGTGCTCTCTCTGCTCATCATGATTCCGTATCCGGTGTTCAGCACCACCAAGACTTTCCCCAAGGCCAACGGCACCGTGGGCCACATGTGTCGCCTCATCTATCCCAGTCACCACGCCGAGCAAAGCTGGTATGTATGCGGGAAGTTCATCTTGAGCGCGTTCACTTGCGTAAAAAAAAATCCACCAAAGCTCGCCTGTGAAAAGACAAGAAAAGATCATCATCTGCCTGTGCTCTGGAGTTCCAGCCAAAATGCCTTTTAATCACAGAGGTTGTTCAAGATGAAGAGCATTTACAGACCCGATTGAGGATTAATTAACCCGGAGCACGAAATGAGCTTGGGCGGCCCGGTGGTCCAGTGGTTAGCGCGTCGACCTCAACGGATTCAATTCCAGCTCCGGCCTCCCCGTGTGGAGTTTGCATGTTCTCCCCGAGCCTGTGTGGGTTTTCTCCGGGTACTCCGGTTTCCTCCCACATTCCAAAAACATGCATGGCAGGCTGATTGAACACTTGAAATTGTTGCTCGGTGTGAGTGTGAGCGCGGACGGTTGTTCGTCTGTGTGTGCCCTGCGATTGGCTGGCGACCGGTTCAGGGTGTCCCCCGTCTACTGCCTGAAGACAGCTGGGATAGGCTCCAGCACCCCCTCCCCACCCCACCCCCACCCGTGACCCTTGAAAGGATAAAGCGGATCGGAAAATGGATGGATGGACAAAATGAGCTCGTGGCGTCAGATATGATGACATCTAAGACAGAAGCGCTCGGTTGCTTTCTGCGCAGGAGAAACTTTTAATTGCTCAGCGTCTGCAAAGCAATCCGTCCACCTGACATGTTCGCGAAAGGTCTTTAAAAGGCACTACAAGCGGATAGAGACTGAGAAAATATTCTCTGGAATGGGGGAAAAAGTGTGGCGCAGTAATGAGGGAGTGGGGGGTGGGGGGGTGCAATTTTCTGGCAGATTTTAAAGGGCTCGCTTATCTGAAAGACAACGCTGTGAGAGGCTAGCGATGGAGGATGAGCAGGAACTAGTCACGTCCGTCGGCTCCGTGAACCATCACGAACTCGGGCGTTCGCTTTGTTTTTCGCCACGGAAAAGGCGTCGAGCGTGATCCGAACCCGCTTTGAAGTCAGATGAAAGCTTTGCTCACCAATGGAAGCCCAATTTGGAACAGAAAAGCGGCGATTCTGCTCTGTTGCCGCACAGCTGACCTCCCCTGATGCATTCAGTCAGCCGATCTGGACAATGCGAGACATCGACCGGGATTTGGGCCATTCTCAAAGTGCTAATATTCCTCTCGTGCGATCGCTTTCAAACGGCCAGATTGAAGCCCTCGGGTTCTTTGAAAAGGGGTGCGAGGTGTTCAAAGGGTGGCCCGGGAAGACATTAAAATATCAAGAGGATGAACGCTCGGGCTCAATCTTTATTGATCCAATCATGAGCATCAAAGAGACACTTTGTTCATGTCAAGTTGACGTGCCACATGGGGAAGCGAAACGGAGCCCATGCGATGTCACGCAATCATTTATTTCACCGATTGTCGGACGAAAGCCGTCCCCTTTTTGGAAAGCGTGAACTGCTTTCACCGGAACGCAAACGCTTCATGACTAAAAAAGCGTGTTCATTGTCATCACAGTATGAACGGATGAAGCTTGGAGGAGCGTTTTACATTTTCTAAGCTAACTTGACGCTGTTTGTGTACGGCGTTCGGGCGTGTAAATCGGCATAATGGAGTGTTTGGATACCTTAAATGTTTCCAAACTGATTAGTAACAAATCCGTCCATCCATCCATTTTCTTTTCTGCTTCTCCTCACGAGGGTGGCGGGTGTGCTGGTGCCTATCCCGGCTGTCTTTTGGGCAGTAAACGGGGTACACCCTGAACTGGTCGCCAGCCAATCGCAGGGCACACACACAGAGTGCTCCATTCACCTGCCATGCATGTTTTTGGAATGTGGGAGGAAACCGGAGTACCCGAAGAAAACCCACGCGGGCACGGGAAGAACACGCAAACTCCACAGGGATCGAACCCGGCCGGCATCGCCGCACTGTGAGGTCGACGCGCTAACCGGTCGCCCACCGTGCCGCCCGAGTAACGAATCTCGTGACTTATGCAGCTGCTATTGGAGAGACTTGAGACTCCCTACCAACTTGAAGTCCCAATACACCCCACCGCCCCAACCCAATGAAATGCAGCAGGTCGTCATCCAGTAAAATGTCGTTTAGCAGCTAAGGAAAAATGTTCCCAGGTCTGCCGTCATGATCCTGTCGTGGAACGAAGGGCCTTGTGAATGAACTTTGACGTGCAGGGTTTTCATTTGATTCCATTTGCGATTGTAACCAGTCGATGACCAATGACACAATCATGAGACGGAACCCGTTGGTTCCTTAGATATTCTAAATTCTGACCGTCGCCAGCCAACAAGTCATTGTTGAGCTGTAAGTCAAGCGCGCTTTCTTTGGTTTGGTTCACAATTGTGATCTTGATTGAGGTCCTCTTTCCACTTGAGCAAATCAGTCGTGACTGCGTGCCGTCTTTCTCCCTGGCTTTGCAGGTACGTGCTTCTGCTGTTCATTTTGTTCTTCATCCCGGGAGTGGTGATGGCCGTAGCCTACGGGCTGATCTCCAGGGAGCTTTACCGGGGCATGCGCTTTGAAATGAAGCAGAACCAAGCGGAGACCACCGGTGAGATCCCGAATGCAAAGCGCTCTTCTTCCAGTGGATTTTGTTTTCCATCTGGTTTGAAGCTCGCGCAGAAAAAGAAAAGGAGCCGCCCTCGCTTTATATGCTAATGTCTTTTTATGCCTGAGGCGGAGAATTCTTTATCTGCTGTCTTCGGGTTTTGCAGCAGATTCCAAAATACCCTGGCACTTCCCTTTCCGTGCCTGATTGAAATAAGCGTTTATCTCTCCCCTACGCAGCGCAGCGCAACAGGCCTGAATACGAATGCGCAGGCTATGAAATCATCCATTCAGGTGACAGTGGATTACGGTGTTCCCCTACTGCGTCACGCGTCATTGTTCACGCCCTCGCTGTGCTGTAATTGTTTTTAATCGGATTCGATTCGCGACCTGTAATGCCCTTGCACGTGGGAAAGGAGAGTCACTGTCGGCCATTTGACGGCCGGTCGAACAGTTGACGACGCCGGTTTAGCAGGTTAGCCGGCGTGGCATCGGACAACAGCAGCATTTGTGTGCCTGCTATTAATATGAAATCGTTTTGCGTTCGTGCACACTGCACCCGAAGCGTCCTATCCGAGTTTCACTTTCACATAAATCATTTAAAAATTGAAATGAAATGAAAAAGCAGGTCACCTTTCGCCTACGGTGGCCGTTGTTCGCCGTCAACAGTCTGCGATTGCAGCTTGCAATCAATCTTTTTTTTTTTTTGGTTTTGATGATTCTCATTCAAAGTTTGTTTCAAGTACAATTGATCGATGGCAATCTGGAGCGCGGGGAGAAGCGTTTTAAAACGCTACACGTGCGTACGATCGTTTCCGCGCCTCCAAAAGTGCATCCCGTGGCCTCCGCGTCAGGTGTCCCACTAAGGTAGGCGGTGATTTCCTTTTCACAAACTCACAACCTCTCGTATCTACTTCATTTTTCTGTTTCGTTCGTGTTCGGGGGCCGTTATGGCCGTTGCTCATCATAGCATGCGAGTATGCACGCACGTGCAGCAACGGGTCGATCGTGGGAGGTGGGTTGCTTGAAAAATAGATCCTCGGTCAAAAAAAAAAAAAAAATGTTGGGCATTCCTGTCCCAGACTGTCGGCAAAAGTCCAGTCGTGCCAATTGTTCTCCGCTCGCTAAAATACCAGGGCGAAAATGTTGCAATCGTGCTCACGGCCCCAGCGATAAAATACGATAAAAAACCGATAAAATAGTTGGGATAGTAACAGCGCTGTTGTAAAAAAGGCTGCAGAATGTGACATTCGGCCAAAGAATGTCGCGGCCGCAATCTGAAAACTCATTCACTCCCAAAGACGCTTTTAGACGTCTTTTCAGACTTGGTCCAGAATTGGCTGGTACTGAATGAGTTCAGCGGTCCAAACCGGTGAGCGCTCCTCAAAAGAAACACTAAAATGATAAAGAGGGCATATCGCGGGTGAGTCCGGAACTTCTACCCCGCGCCAAACGTACTGCACAACCTGTGCGAAGTCGCGCCCATAAAGTTGATCGTCGCCCGGCTCGATGTCGCGATCCGCCGTCAAACGTGAGCTGTCCTCCGCAGAGCTGAGAAACGGCACCGTGGCCGAGTCAAACGACGAGGACGACGACGACGACGGTTGCTACGTTCAGGTTCCCAAAAAGTCCTCCGCCGTGGAGCTGCCCGCCCTCCCCAACTCAGCGTCGTCATCCTCCGCCGCTTCGGCGCCGCCCAAAACCGAGCGCGCGCGCAGCAACACCTCCAACGCCAAGTTGCGGGCCAAAAAGCGGGTCATCCGCATGTTGCTGGTGATCGTGGCGCTTTTCTTCGTCTGCTGGATGCCGCTGTACTGGGCCAACACCTGGAAGGCTTTTGACTGGAATGCGGCCACCAAAGCCCTGACGGGGATCCCCATTTCCTTCATCCACCTGCTGTCGTACACCTCCGCCTGCGTCAATCCCGTCATCTACTGCTTCATGAACACCCGCTTCCGCAAAGCCCTGCTGGCTACCTTTGCCCGCTGCTGTCGCAACCGCCTGTGCCGCAAGTGCTGCCCGTCCCTGCTGGAGGCCGGAGAGGACGGCGCCACGGGCTATTCCATGGCCACCACCATGGCCACTTCCGTGTCAAAGTACAGCTACACCACCGTCGGCTCCACGCCCACCTGATGCGCCTCCGCGACGCCGGCCGGCGACCGCTGCGCCCGTTTGCGCTTTCTGTTCATTCATCGAGTCGTCTGCTGAGCAAACGTTTTTTTTTTTTTTTTTTGTTGTTTTTGCTTTTCCTGTTCCTCATACCGAGAGCATGTTGTAGAATGTCAGACTGAATGCGCCTGTTGAATCGGCAGCAATTGCTTCGTCATCCTGAAGAAAAGTGCCTAACTTTATTTATTGCATTATTTTTTTTTTTGTTTTTGTCAAATGGATTCTTACACCAAACGATTCTCCTAGAAACACCAAAATGGATCAACCGAGGGCCCTCCGCTCCAAGCATGTCTTGTTTGGCTATTATCGCTTTCGATGGACTGGATCTTGTGGCGGGCAATGTGCAGCCCCCCCACTTGGGACTTTGGGCAAAAGGAAAAACCTCACACTTGCCAATCATTAGGAATCGATCTGTCACCAGCTGTACAAAAGTCGGCGATGTAAACCGCGATACTTCCGAGAGCCTTCCGGTGTATCCGAATATTCAACATGTGCTCCTTTGCATGCTTGTTGTGCAAGGTCACGGGTCAAAAAAAAAAAAAAAAAAAATACGTGGAGCGTCAACCCGATTTCCATCATTCGCAATGCTGATGCGTTTCGCAAAATATTTGTGACCTCGATGCAATAAACCCACACGGCCTTCAATTTCGGTGCATCCAACTCCGTATTTGTTTGAGTCGATGAATTGGAATTGAACCTTGGCGTCCATATCGTCTCTTTCTTCCTTTGACAAAGCCAAGCGTCATTATTTTTTTTTCAAAACCTCCACGGATCAACCGTTGAATTCAAGGAAAAATGATCTACTTCTGCTTCAGACATTACCGACAACCTGAAGATCAGGTGTGTCAACCTCATTTTTTTGTCGCGGGCCACTTCGGAGTTACGGCTTCCCTCGGAGGGCCGGTGCAAAATCTCAACGTTATTTATTACCCGTGAAAATTTGACATTTCGCGACAGATTTCAGCAAGAATGATGAAAGTTGACACACATGATTTGCTCCCGCGGGCCACATAAAATGACGCGGGGGGCCGGATCTGGCCCCCGGGCCTTGACTTTGACACCTGTGCTGTAGATTATGTGAAAAAAAAAAAAGAAAAAACTCAAAGCAATTTTGCCTTATGACCTCGTATTTGTAAGAGGCTTGTTTTGAAAGGAGCCGCATTCGCGTTGCTTCCTAACTCGGCTGAATTTCTGATGTTCTTCAACGCATCGTCCGTCTGGGGAATGCAGCGTCCGCAAAACTGCTTCAGTCAGCACGATGAGCTTTCGCGGCTCGTCTGTCCCTTTGTGACCCCTGGAGCTAAATGCGCTCGAATTTGCCGAAGTGCAACGATGCTTCATTCGCCGCTCTCGTTTCGGCTTGCCCAAGGCAAATCGCCAAAGCTTGATAACGACCCTTTTGGTGAGGAAATGTGAAAGTAAGATGAAAAGGTGCTTCCTTTTTTTAAAGTAGGAAAGGACGGCAGTGTTGAAAAATGAATTCAGCACAATTTTTTTTTTCTCTTGACTGACACGATGACGCAACGGCAAGTATTGCTGACGCAAGTCTGTCACGTGGAACTGCGGTCAAACTTGCTGTTGCTTGACTAGTGCTGCCAACAAGGATGACGGGCGGTCTCATGGATCATCGGGGGGGGCTGCGGGTTCCCTCAACAATGGTCAGGAGTAACCAATGCTAACTGTGGGCAGGTCCAGGCACCTTTTTAGCATTTGTAAAATTCGAACAAACGTGTACTCAGAGAAGTTCCTCAGCAAAAAAAAAAACAAAATCCAAATAAAATCATCAGGCTGTAACTAGTCAAGCGGTCTCGGTGCAAGACAAAGCGCTTTTTGGGATGATGGGCATATCCAGCTTGGATACATGTTCTCCCTGTGCCTGCGTGGGTTTTCTCCGGGTACTCTGGTTTCCTCCCACATTCCAAAACATGCACGCTAAGCTAATGGAACACTTAAAATTGTTCGATTCCAGCTCCGGCCTCCCTGTGTGGAGTTTGCATGTTCTCCCCGGGCCTGCGTGGGTTTTCTCCGGGTACTTCGGTTTCCTCCCATATTCCAAAAACATGCATGACAGGCTGATTGAACACTCAAAATTGTCCCGAGGTGTGAGTGTGAGCGCGGAAGTAGTTCGTCGATGTCTGCTCCATGATTGGCCTGCAACCAGTTCAGGGTGTCCCTCACCTACAGCCCGAAGACAGCTGGGACAGGCTCCAGCACGCCCATGACCCTCCTGAGGATAAGCGGATTAGAAAATGAGTGCATGGATGGATTTTAGTTTAGGCGACACAGTGGTCGACTGGTGAGCACGTCCGCCTCACAGTGCCGGTGTGCAAGGTTTGATTCCAGCTCCAGCCTTCCCGTGTGGAGTTTGCATGTTCTCCCTGTGCTTGGTTGGGTTTTCTCCGGGTGCTCCGGTTTCCTCCCACATTACAAAACATGCATGGCAAAGCTAATGGAACACTCGAAACTGTCCCAAGGTGTGACTGTGAGCGCGAATGGTGTGCCCTGCGATTGGCTGGCAACCAGTTCGTTGCGGACCTCGCCTGCTGCGCAAAGATAGGCTCCAGAACGCCCGCCACCCTTGTGAGGATAAACGGATTAGAAAATGGACGGGTGAAAGAGAACTTTAATCTCGATCTCGGTGGCGCCTAGTCATTTATTACACTCGTAATGCCCCGGCAGTGGCATTCTGCTGTGTACAATATTTGTTGTACATCACACAGACGGGCCTGGAAAGGAGAGTTGTCCGAGTGAAAGGGGCACACGAAAACGGTTGCATAGGGCATTCTGCTGTGTACAATATTTGCTGTACATCACACAGACGGGCCACACATGCAGCCTGGAAAGGAGAGCTGTCCGAGTGAAAGGGGCACACGAAAACGGTTGCATGGGACTTGACCCACAAACCGCTCCAAAGACAAGACCTTCCATGAGCCTTTTAGCTCTGAAACAGTCCAAAATTGTCCGTAGTGACAACATCCATTTTCTCCACAAGGCAGACTTTAAAGTGATGAGCAGTCAATCACGGGGGAAAATATTCGAACGACAGACAGCTGTCGCTGAGCGGGCATTGAACCCACACTGCTCGCACGGAAGTTGCAAATGACCCGCTCCGCCGGCGCCGACCTTATTTAGCTCTGCGGGGCAACACAAATCGATCCCAAGTAACCTCCAGATGGGCAACAAGCTACTAATTTAGGATTAGCAGGTAGCACAAATTGAAAAAATGACATTTTAAAAGTAGTCACTCAATCTCAAAATTATAATTTGTTGTTGTAATTGTTGTTGTTGTTGTTGTTGAAATGTGTTAACGATGCGTTCATTTCAAAGCAATTTGTTCTGTGGTGTTGAATAAATTGGAAATCTAGGAAATGCAAGATAGTCGCAAAGCAACTGACAACACTGACAACGAGAGGTTGTCTATGAGTCATTATGGCCTACTGGATGTCGTCGAATTGTTTTCATTTTATTCGATTTTTTTTCTGTCATCAGTTGTGGATTACGATGTGGCTCGTGTTTGCAACATCTTGGGGAAAAACCAAACTAGATTTGGAGACAGAAAGAAAGGTTGGGATGGGTTGCTGACCTCATTTTTTTTTTTTTTTTTAATGTTGAATATTTGTTCATCTATGTATATGGGTAACCAAAGCTTTTATTTATTTTTATTTGGACGAATTTGCCACATCCGGTGCCTGCTTGTGCCACGTCGCGATGGTGTACCATCTCGTTGTTTAATGTGAAGATGCTCTGTTGTAAATTGTGGGGTTTATTGACGTTGATCATGTCAATTGTGTTGACTGTTTGCCACGGTTTAGGCGACCGTCTTATTTGCGCTATATTTCATGTAATAAAAAACAGGGAGATACATTTGTGTACGTGTGCATATGAAAGCAGCTGGTGAGTTTTTTTGAAAGCGGATGTATGATATCTTTTTGACTGAGCATCACATTCTTCTTTCCCTCTCACTAATTAGTCTTGGGCGGCATGATGTGCATTAGCCACACACCGTTAGGTTCCAATGCGGCAACAATCAAGGACGGCGCACTCGCTGACACATTTTTAGAAAGACGCAGATCATTCACCCATTATCTCGAGTGCTTAATCCTAACGACGGTCGACTCGCGGGTGTGCTGGAGCCCATCGGAGCTGACTTGGGGAAATAGGCGGGGGACACCCTGAACCGGTCGCCAGCCAATCGCAGGGCACACACATGGACGAGCAACCATCCACGCTCACAATCACACAGCGGGACAATTGGAGAGCGTTAAATCAACCCACCGTGCATGTTTTTGGAATGTGGGGGCAAACCGGAGTACCCGGAGAAAACCCGCGCAGGCACGGGGTGGAAGATACAAACTCCACACAGGAAGGTCGGAGCCGGAATCGAACCCTGCGCCTCTGCGCTGCGAGGCCGACAACGGAAGATTTTTTTGTAATTTGATACTTGATGGTCAGGGATGCGCTCAGGAGAGCCAACTCATCATCCACAAGCATTTTAAAAGTAACATTTCCAAACGATGTCCACTTTGGATTTCTCAAGAGACATTGGCTACATACTAAAATCCATAGTATGCCTGGAAAGAAGTCGCTGCCATAGCAACACCAAGTGCCGCATCATTAATCAGATGTGTTGGACCAGAAAACGGGAGGTGCGGGGGAGCTTTTTTTTTTTTTTTTTCCCCCTAGTTGTTCCTCAAAGAAGTTTCTTACCACAATTGAAAGAAGATACCACGTCTTTGAATCAACATCGCTCAGATTTATTCGAAAACCATCACCAGGAACTGGTTGGAATGCCGTGTCATTCGAAGCTGCCCAATTTCAGGCATCAGGAAAGAATGGAGCGTGACTTGGTTGGCGATTCACACTTTTGGGTGAAGTTGGCTTTGGACTGAGTCGTGGAGGGGCCACGTGTTTTTTTTTTTTTTGCATGCAAATACTTTGTTTTTTTCGTTTGTTTTTTTCTACTTTCTTCCCTCCAAATTTTGCTGCTGTAGATTGCGAATTTCTCCATTGTGAGACAATAAAGGTTATCTTATCTTATCTTAAAGTGCGCCACTCTAGTGAGGCTTCAAAATTGCGACAAATCAAGCCATGAAACAATTTGTGGATTTGTCTGCTGAATACCTGATACAAAAAAAAACCCAACAAAACAACAAACCAAAAAAAAAAAAATGCTGCTATTTTGTCTAGCAAATTTCTTCAGCCTGTATGGTGTATGTCGAAACAAATTCTTGATTTCTTCTTTTGGTTTTAATCCAACTTTTAGATCGCGTAGTCGCGTGCTTCGAAGTGCTTTTTTTTTTTTTTGCTACTCCGCTCGCTCCTACTTTTATGCAGACGACACATCATTTAATTTCTCAATCCAACTTCCCGAAACAAAATCGGTTCATCGAACCTCAAGCGCACCTTCCAGAAATCACGGAGGAGACGACCGGCCTTTTCTTTCGACTGAATTTAGATGCTAACCAAATTTGCGGCTAGCATCTTTGATGACAATCGCTGCTCTTGATGGCGTGAGCCCGCGGCAATCCAGTGAAGAATCTTGACAATCAACTTTGATCAGAATGTAAGATTCGGTTCCCGTGTACAACTGCCGAGGGCAGCCGGGTTGTCGCCGGCTCCTCAATTGTGCGCCGTCAAAAAAAAAAAAAAAAATGTTCAATTTCTTGCCACGAGATGCTGAAAAAGGATTGAATGCTTTCGTGACCTCTCAACATGAAGACTGACTAGATTAGCCTTTATGAAGCTAAATCTTGAAAAAAAATCTTTTAAAAAATATATATAAATAAGTACGTGGGATTGAATGTGTCTGAAAAGACATAAATATGTCACGGCCCCCCCGTGTCTGGAGCGCCCTTCCTTCCTGAGCATCTAAGGAATCTTCAGCCTGTGGAGTGTTGA